CCCGCAGAGGACACGTCGAGGAAGGATAGAACTAACTCCTACAAGTTGTGCCCTGACTTTCACACACATATCATGGCATACACATCACACACATACACACTAAATATATGTAAAATAATTAAAAAGCAAAGTGTGGTGGTGTGTGTTTGTAATTGCAGCACTAACAGAGACAGGAGCATCATGGGGCTTGCTGGCCAGCCAGCCTAGACTATTTGGTGAATTCCAAGCCAGCTAGAGACTCTCCCTTAGAGATGGAGTTTGGGGATAGACCTCAGCTGTGGTGCAAGGGAGAGAGGCCATGGTCTGGGGTGGGGCACTCAACTACTTCCAGGTCCCTAGCATGGCATCTAAAGATGATAGGTAAGATTTCCCTATGGTCTCCACATGCACACATATACATGTGCACATGTGTACAAGGTATACACATACACTGGATGACTCCTGTACATCCATGCATGCATATGCACCTGCATACACAAAGAATCCTCAAGATGTCAACTACCTTGGCAACCTCAGTCTAGTGACTGGCTCAGCCCTGCAATGCTGGGCTCTGATCTGGGCTGGTGCTCCAAGGCCTGGCCCATGAAACCCAAGCCTCTTCTATGGCCATGAACTTGAAGTGGAACAAAAGTCCAGAAGCTGAGTGTTCTTCCTGGGGGCTGGAGACTTATCTCCATGGTAACATTCCCATGTGCAGGAAAAACCAATCCTGTGGAGATGGGGAGAGCGGTGAGGGCAGGGATGGGCAAGTAAGAAACGTTGGCCATTGGACCCTCAAAGGCTCTTGTCCAGCTCCTGCCTGGTCCACACCCCCCAGCTGTGTGATGCTGGCCAGATTACCCAATAGCTCTAAACCTTTGGTGAGATGGCAATTGAGATACCCACAAAAATGGGCTGTTGGGAACTGCCTGGGCTCAGTAAGTGGTCCCGAGCAATAGCCGCCACCTGCCCAAACACTGAGTAGGTACAACCTGGATTTCTTAGCTTGCCAAAAGCACCTGCAAAGAGGAGCCATTGGGCCTGTCCTGCTACCCAGAGCCTGTTCGGATGAAATGGAACTGTGTGAGTAGCTGATGGAGGGGAAGTGGTCTAAAAAAAACCTGGTCATTGTTTTAATCCCAGCCTACTTGTTACTGTGCAGCACTTCCCTCCCAATCCAAACATTCTCTCCAAGAGTGAAGGGGAAGCCCACGAGACTCCAGAGGTAAAGCAAATGTCACACACACACACATCTAAGAAAGCCAAGACTTGCAAGATTCTCAAAGGCCCCTCTCAGCTATTTATATTCCTTGGACTAAAAAAAGTCCACCGTGATCAAAAGCAACTTGGGGTGGTGGTGGTGGTTATTTCATCTTACATTTTTGTGGTCCATCATCCAGGAAAGTTGGGACAGAAACCTGGAGGTAGAAACTGAAGCAGAGGCCATGGAGGGATACTGCTTACTGGCTTGTTCCCTCTGGCTTGACCAGCCTGCTTTTTTATAGCATCCAGGACCACCAGCCCGGGGATGGCACCTGTCAGTTGTACCATCCACAGTGGGCTGGGCCCCCCCACATCAATCAAGAAAATGTCCCAGGGACTAATCTGGTGGGGGGCATTTTCTCAGCTGAGGCACCCTCTTCCCAAATAACTCTAGCTTGTGTCAAGCTGACAAGAAACTAGCCAGTACATCACCTCTACAGACACAGTAAGCATCTTGGGAAGAGACTCTGAAGAACCAACTGCTTAGAGGAGGCAGAGCTGTCAGTGGAACTCTTAGACCTGTGCGGCTGCTGGTAAGTAGCCCAAAAATCTCCAGGGTTGCAGCTTTCAGGCGCCATCAAGTGAACTGTCATCCATGCTGTGGTGGGCTTTTCAGAGATGAAGCTGCTCCTACGTCATCCCTGCTCCTGTAACCCCTCATTCATGCTCCTATTAGTAGCCTCATTAACAACTCATTAGTTCATTGGGAACAGCAGTGGCTCGGCAGCTAAGAGAACTGGCTGCTCTTGCACAGGACCCAGGTTCAAGTCCCAGCACCCATATGGCAGCACACAACCATCTGTGTCTCTAGTTCCAAGGGATCTGGTGCCCTCTTCTGGCCTCCCAGGTTTTGCATTCACGTGGTGCACAGATGTGCATGCAGATAAAACACCCATTCACATAAAAAAAATTAAATATAGAAAACAAAAACTCAAGCCAGGTGGTGGTGGTGCATGCCTTTAATCCCAGCACTCAGGAGGCAGAGCCAGGTGGTGGATCTCTGTGAGTTCGAGGCCAGCCTGGTCTATAGAGCGAGATCCAGGACAGGCACCAAAACGACAGAGAAATCCTGTCTCAAAACAACACCACCACCAAAAAAAAAACCAAACAAACAAAAAAACCCTCATTAGTTCACCAAGTTGGACTTTGGTGTAATCATTACTTTGGTCTGTTATGGGCTCCCTTTCTAGGATGAGTAAACATGTGGTGCATCTCTCCCCAGGTGCCCAATATGGAGATCAGTTGAGACCTTATCAGCATCAGTCAGAGTCCCTGGGTCTCCTCATCTAGGAAGCCCTGACAGTCCACTCCAAGCTCTCAACACCCACAAGACAGACTTACCACCTCTCTTGTCATGTTGAATGGTGTCTTAGTTAGAGAGTACAGTAACTCTTACAAAGAAAACGTTAAATTGGGGTGGCTCACTTGCTGTTTCAGAGGTTCTTTCAATTATCATCACGGTGGGGAGCATGGCGGCATGCAGGCAGACGTGGTACTGGACAAGTCCTACATCTTGCAGGCAACAGGTCAGCTGACATGCTGGGCAGTATCCTGAGCATAGGAAACCTCAAAGCCCGCCCCCACAGTGACACACTCCCTCCAAGGCCACACCCACTCCACCAAAGCCACACCTCCTAAGAGTGCCACTTCCTATGAGGTCATGGGGGCCAATTACATTCAAACTACCACAAATGATCTACTTTATGCTGTGTGAACTCTGCTGGCATTCTTCTTGCCACCACCACTGTGGGGCCCCAGAGGGAGACCTACGAACTCAGGCCTGCAGGCCAGCCAGGTCCAGGGATTCAGTGAATGGATTTCACCACGAGAGGAGGTTCACCTTCCCTTTCTACTTTGCTCCAGGGAGTGGGAGGTTGTGTGGGGGCTAACTTCACACTGAATGGGTGGAAGTGGACATGGGATCTGGCTGAGCTCGATTTTGAGGTCATCTATGAGGTTTTCAGATGAGAATCTCACTTCAGTCTCAGAGGACTGTTCCCCAAAATATTGTGCACCCTAATAAACTTACCTGGGGTCAGAGAACAGAACAGCCACTAGATATAGAGGCCAGAAAATGGTTGCACACACGCCTTTAATCCTAGCATTCCAGAGGCAGAGATCCGCCTGGATCTCTGAGTTCAAGGTCACACTGGAAGCAGCCAGGCATGGTGACTCATGCCTTTAATCCCAGGAAGTAATGGCAGGAAGAAGAAAGGTATATAAGGCATGAAAACCAGGAAGTAAGCTGGTTAAGCTTTAAAGGCTTTTGAGCAGCAGCTCAGCTGAGACCCATTCAGATGAGGACAGAGAGGCTTCCAGTCTGAGGAAACAGATCAGCTGAGGAATTGGCAAGGTGAGGTGGCTGTGGCTTGTTCTGCTTCTCTGATCTTCCAGCATTCACCCTAATAACTGGCTCTGGGTTTGTTTTCATTAATAAGACCTTTTAAGATTCATGCTGCAGAGGACGTCCTCAGTGTGTCTGGACTTGTCCAATCTATGGAGGGGTCTGAATAGAATAAATGTGATCAGGAGGAACTCTGCCCAGTCCCTGCCTGTCTTAGCATGAACTATCAACCTGACATAGCATAAAAATTCTTAAAGAGTCTCAAGTGAGTCAATGTCTGAGATTGGTCTGCAGACATGTGCACAAGGTATTGTATTGCTGTGGGACGGCCTGACCTACTGAGGGCCACGTCATTCCCTAAGCTGTGTAAGAAAGCTACGTAAGCCTGAGCCTGTGAGTGAGCCAGAACCATTCCTTCATAGTTCCCACCCGGATTTCTCTCGGTGATGGCTTGTGACCCGGAAGTGTAATCCAAATAAGCCCTGTCCTGCCAACTTGCTTTGGATCACGTGCTTTATCATAGCAACAGAAGGAAACCAGAACAGTACCCTGCTGAGGGGGCTGAGGCAGCTCACTTCCTCTCCTGCCCGGGGTCCCATGGGCACCCCTGGTTCTCAGGCCCTTGGACTCAGAATGGCATCTCTGCAGAGCTTCTCGGCCACCCCAAGCTTGCAGACAGCGGATCATGATGCCTCCCTTTTACACATATGGAAATCTATTTGCCTCATTTTTCTGGAGATGCCCGACTTCTGCTTTTTAGAGTGTTTAGGTGAAAATGTAGGATGTTTGACTCTTTCTCCTATATATCATGTAGTATTTGGGCATCAGTGAAGATGTGCCCTGAACACAAAGCAAAACACTGATTTGTGTACTTATGTAAGTCTATTGTATCCAAAACAAATCAGATCTCAATAAACAAAAATTTTAAAATACACTCTTAAAACAGTATAGTGGAGGGGCTGGAGAGACAGCTCAGGCTAAAAGAGCAAGAGCTGCTCTTGCAGAGGACCTAGGTTCGATTCTCAGCACCCACATGTCAGTTCACAACCATATGTAACTCCACTTCCAGGGGATCTAGAACCATCATCTGGGTGCAGTGGGCCTGCACAAATCTCTCTCTCCCCCCCCCCCCTCCCTCTCTCTCACGCACACACACGAGGAAGAGGAGGGTATTGCGATCACAAGAGGCTGTCCAGTCGTAACAGAATACGTTAACTTACGGTCTGGCAGGATGGGAAGTGACTTGAAGGTAGAGAAATCTTGTTCAACACGAGGCCATCCCCACCACTGGCCTCGTAAGCCTCTGGTTTTTTCTGTTCCTAAATCAGAGTCTACCCCACCTTTGCTCCACCAGCCCAGAATCCACCAATGTGGAAGACCAAGTGTGAAAATGGAAAATGACCATGCCCACACCTGTGTTTCACAATCGCTCCGCACTTTTATTGTTCACTTTCTTCACATGGCAGATACAGAACTGTCTTCTCGCGTGGCCTAGAACCATGCTGGAAGACCTCCACTGACCAGGAAACACCACTCCTGACAATACTTTCTCCTTGTTTTCCTGACAATCTGGGAAGTGTTGACGGGTGACCCAGCACAATTTGCACATGCAGAGAGAGAGAGGGAGAGAGAGAGAGAGAGAGAGAGAGAGAGAAAGAATCCCCCAAGAGCCCAGCAACATTTTCCAAAGTTTGACTGAAAGCAGCTTGCCATGGCTTTGGGTTCGTGAGCTTTCCTGGCTGCTGGGAGAGGCTGAGATAGAGTCCGTGTGGCCAGCTGTGGGGCACACTGTGTCTGTGGGGCTAGCAACAGCCACGAGTCCATGCTTGCAAGGATTAACTGCAGGGTGTGTAAAAGGAAAAATTCCAGTTGAAGAAATAAAAAAGGGAACACCAGAGTTTAGCTGGGTGGGTGAACAGGAAAACTGTAACACTGGACAATGATGGATGTTTGTCTGCCCATGTGAGTCTCTAGGGACCCTTTTTCCTGGACCAGTCAGTCCCCTTACTGCAGCCAGTCGACTGATTAATTAAATAACACACGTTATAAAACTTTAAAAATGGAGCATTTACAGTCGGGGCCATAAATACGTGCTTTTAAAAGTGTCTACATACATATTTACAGAGTTGTAAGATCAACCATAGTAGCCCTGAAAAAGAAAACCCCTTTCATGTATGACAACTCTCCCAAGTTCTGTCCTCCCACTTCGACATGTTGGGACCAGAACGGAGCTGAGGAAACAGCACCAAAAATGTCTCAGGCATCCTCCGCCCCAAAGGCACAAAACCCAAGAACCTCAGTGACCCAGGTGCGAACTCTGAGCTCAGTCCCATGTTTCTCCCAGACTCCAACTGTCCACCAGAGCAGAGGTCAGCGGGCGGAGAAAATCACCCATTCACACTCCTGTTTTGTTTTCTTTAACCCGACCATATTTTTTTTCATTTCCCTTTTTACAATTTTTTCTTTGCTTCCCTTCGCAGCTAACTTGAAACGTCCAGATGCTAAGAGTATAGGAGGTCCACCAAGTGAGACAAGGAAGGGCACAGGAGAGTCACGCCTCCACCTCAAAGTCCCTAACCACTGCTTCCTCTAAACAAGAAAGCAGGTCTGAAAACAGCTGGGCGGGCGCAGAGTCTGCCTCCCGGATTCACGGGCTCTAGGGTTCCCTGCAGAGACTTCAGAGCAGTGGACTCTGGATCGTCAAAGGAGAAAATGATTTGAAAGCTGGAGGCTCTGGTTGCTTAGGGAGAAAGGGGGTTTCCAAGTGCTGGGGCCAAGGTTCAGGCTCAGCCCTGATGGATCTATATGCTATTTGCTATTGATTCCCAGAGACAGTGTGAGGAGAATGTTGGTGAGGGAGGGGCTGGCATGAAGGGGAGCTCGGCCTCTGAAAGGTCATCCTTAGATAGGATCCCTCTCCACCCCTCAGGGCCAGACTGAAGCCCCAGTGATGGCAAGCGACAGCTCAAGAAGCACAAAGCAGGGTCAAGGAACTCTTTAAAAAATTGCATAGAAGGAGACGCCCCTCCGGGCAGGATGGCTGCACCACAGAGCACGGTTCTGGGCCACGTCCAAGGATCAGCTGGAGGATGATGCGAAGGCTACTGCCTTCCTGCTCCCGAGGCTGGGACCTTGGCTTGAAGACCACATGCATGCACCAGCACACACACATGCACACATTCATTCTCTCTCTCTCTCTCTCTCTCTCTCTCTCTCTCTCTCTCTCTCTCTTTCTGGCTCACTCTCGCTCTCTCTCTTGCTTTCACAACTGGGAGAGGTCAGTACTCTCTGCAGGGCAGAATGCTGGTCCCTTTGGCTTCACTGATTCCAGGTCACTTCAGGTGCTGGGGAAAAACAAAGAGAAAATAACAACAATGGCCACACAGTCACTGCTTCTGTGGCTGCTCATGTTTCCCTGTTTAATTATTCTATTAAGCAGTTTAATAAAGTATAAAAGAAATATAAAAGCCCCATTTGATCAATTTTCATAGCATATATTCAGCATTAGATAAAGATGCAGACTATGACCCCAACCCACTCTGAGCCATCGCTATTTGAGGATATCTCCCGCCAGATAGCCATCATCCTAGTTTTTAATCACTTTATGCCCTTGCCTGCCTGCCTTCCTTCCTTCCTCCCTTCCTTCCTTCCTTCCTCCCTTCCCTCCCTTCCTTCCCTTTCCTTCCTCCCTTCCCTCCTTGTTGTGACATATTTGATTACACTGTGTAAAGATACGTCACTCTGATTAGTTTAATAAAAAGCTGAATGGCCAATAGCTAGGCAGGATTTCCAGGCACGGAGGACACTGGGAAGCTGAAGGGTGGAGACATGAGAGATGGAGAACAAGCAACACATGCAGGAAGGGAGGTACAGCCTCGAGCCACATGGCAGCACATAGATGAAAAGGTATGGGTTAGTTTAAGTTAAAAGAGCTAGTTAGAAACCAGGCTAAGTGATCAGTCCAGTTTCATGATTAATAAGTCTGTGTCATGATTTGGGAGCTGGCTGGTAAGACAGAGAAAGATTCACTACCCTCCCTTCCTTCCCCATGATGCTGAGAATTGAACTCAGGACCTCCCACATTCTAGGCAAGCACTCTACCACTAAGCTACATCCTCAATCCCCTCTTTGAGACCATTTCACAATGTGACCCAAGGAGGCTTCAAATTCAGAAATCCCCCTGCATCAGCTTCCCAGGTATCTGGAATTATAGGTCTCCACCACCAAGCCTAGCTCTTTTTTTTTTTTTTTTTTTTTAATTTAAACACACTGAATTGACTAGCATCTATGCCTTTGTGCTTCAGTTTAGCGTGTCTGTGAAGTTCTGGGCATGCAGCTATAACTCTGTGTATATGAGCAGGCTGTATTTCTGTCTGTCAGACCATGTGGCTGTAGCTCTGTCCATCTGCTGCTTTACAATATTCTCTTGGGGGAACATGCACATTGGTCCCTCGGGTCCACTGCTAATGCACAACACAGAGGCCCTGAGGCAGACAGCACAGACTCTCATGCAACATGGAGGAAACAGAGACTCAGAGAGGACCGGCTTTTCATGAGATCATAGGGAGCGTGGGTCTTCAGAGAGTGACCTTCTCTCCTGCAGTGGGCAGCTCTCCCTCACTGGGTGCTGTCACCTACAGCCCACTGTCCATGCTGGAAGTCAGAGGGCCAGAGTTCTGATACATGTTCTCCCCCTCAGTTTCCCTCTTGAAGAAGGAGGGGACCGACCTGCATGTATCTTCCTGAGCTGAGATTCTATGCCATGGACTTTAGAAACCTTTCTGCACCCATGTCCAATAGTGCTCTACAATGAATCTCGTCTCCCTGAAAGCCCTGTGTTATAACCAGACCCTTCAGTGTAACGAATCAGGACCGCTTGGAAATAATTAGGGCCCCAGCAAGTGAGGACACAGTAAGAAGGAAGATACTGGCGACAATCCAGGAATTGGCAGGTCTAGTTTGAGCAGGCGCATTTGCAATGATCTTATGGCTGGAATGGCTGTGCTACACAATTTTAAAATAAGCATTTTATTGCCTGAGTCTGGGATGACATAGCAAAATACCACCAACAGGCAACTTCAACAGCGTTTGTCCCTCACCGTTCTGGAGGCTGCAAGTCCCCATTTGCACACATGGAAGTGGAGGCTTGGAGAAACTGACAGCCAGTGAATGGCAAAGCTGGGGTTTGAACCCTGGTGGTCCAGAGTCTATACGCTAAGCCACAAAACTCATGCCTACAGAAGGCCCCATGCCAGCCTGGAGGGTCCTTGGCATGCCATCTCTCCCACTCACCCACCCACCCAAGACCTACCTCAGACCCCAACCCCAAGACCCAAGAGCCACCCTGACAGTGCCAGGGTGCCTCTGCCTCCTACCTGTCAGGGAGCAGACAAAGTGCCTACTCTTTGAAGAAGGGTCCCTGGAACTGAGCTGCTGCTGCTGCGGCCTTGACCTTTCTGCACTGTCTGGTGATGTAAGGGGCTGCTGATGAGGTGCATCGGGACGCCAGGCGGAGACTGTAGCTGTATGGAAAGGAACAGCACAGGTCATCATCGGGAACCATTTTTGCGTCTCTGGCATCACTGAAGGTACACAAAAGTCTTTGCTGCCTGTATCTCCCAGGCCCAAGCAAGATGGCACTTCCTTTCATGCCAGGGGAGGGGTGATGGGACTTCCAATGGAAATGTAAGCCCAGGCCTCTTTGACATGGTAGAGCTTTGTGTTTTATGGCCATCTATTAAATGGGATTCATTTTTTTTTTAAGAACTGCTGTGGGATGGTCTGTATGTCAAATGTGTTGCTGATTGGTCAGTAAATAAATCACTGATTGGTCCGTGGCCAGGCAGGAAGTATAGGCGGGACAAGGAGGAGAATAAAGCTGGGAAGCGGAAGGCTGAGTGAGAGAGACACTGCCAGCCGCCATGATGACAAGCCGCATGTGAAGATGGCGGTAAGCCACGAGCCATGTGGCAAGGTATAGATTAATGAAAATAGATTAATTTAAGCTGTAAGAACAGTTAGCAAGAAGCCTGCCACGGCCATACAGTTTGAAACCAATATAAGTCTCTGTGTTTACTTGGTCGGGTTTGAGCGGCTTGGGACTGGCGGGTGAGAGAGATTTGTCCTGACTGTGGGCCAGGCAGGAAAACTCTAGCAACAAATGGCGTCCAACGTGGTGGCAAGAGTTTCCGCCTAAAAACTAAAAAAAAAAAAGATTCTAAAACGGAGCTAAAAACAGCTTCCTAATTGTCTCTCTCAAATGAGCGGCAGCTGCCGGTTTGAGCTACTGGCGGGTTCCTAGCATGCGCGCTCGACCTGCCGCCATATGGCGGGAATGAGGCCTCTGCAAGTGACACATTAAGCTGCTTGATGGATTTAGCCTTTGCTAGTACAAAACAAAAAAAAGAGGTTTCTGGGCTACAAGCTGCTTGGATAAAAGCATAGACCCACGATAGCTCCCAGAGCTGGCGGTAAACCACCGCCATGTTGGGAAGCTGAGGTGGGCGGAGCCAGCAGCCACAGCTGCTGCAGTTTAAGGCAATAGATTCACAATAAGACAGATTCAGATGTGATAGTTTACAATGTATGTAAAATATACGTAGGCTTGAAAGAGACAAAAAAGGTGATATATAAAGTTATATAAACAAATACATAGTTTTAAAAAATAAAGTCTTTAAAGAGACAGTAAAATTAATATAGAAAATAAGCCACGTAAAGATGAATATTACACAAAGAATCTGGATTATGTTCTCTTTGATATTCGTAACTAAAAAAAAAAACATTTGATTACAAAAGCTGTTGAGTTATGCCAAAATGCATATTTTAAAGGTACCTTGACTTCAAAATTTGGATATAAGGATATGTTACTTTGGAAAGGAGACTCTGCTTTTGTTTCCACAGAAAGCCAGAGGCTATGGATTTGTTCCAGATTAAGATACATCAGGTTTGACCAGCCAAGACCCCCTGAAAGGTCTCCGATGACACCATGGCCCAGATGATCCAACATCCAGAATGGTTTCAAGGCAACTGGCTCAGAGGATACACCCTCATGGACTACTCCATAATCCTAAAGTATTCTTTGTGTCCCCATAAGATACAGCGCCCCCCTCCAGCAGGAAGTAGTAAGAGAAGCTACGCCCAAATTCCCAAATATACCAAGCTGACTTTGGAGATGTGTAAAGGTTAAAACTTTCCTTTTTAAGAAAAGAAAAGGGGAGGTGCTGTGGGATGGTCTGTATGTCAAATGTGTTGCTGATTGGTCAGTAAATAAATCACTGATTGGTCCGTGGCCAGGCAGGAAGTATAGGCGGGACAAGGAGGAGAATAGAGCTGGGAAGCGGAAGGCTGAGTGAGAGAGACACTGCCAGCCGCCATGATGACAAGCCGCATGTGAAGATGGCGGTAAGCCACGAGCCATGTGGCAAGGTATAGATTAATGAAAATGGATTAATTTAAGCTGTAAGAACAGTTAGCAAGAAGCCTGCCACGGCCATACAGTTTGTAACCAATATAAGTCTGTGTTTACTTGGTCGGGTTTGAGCGGCTTGGGACTGGCGGGTGAGAGAGGTTTGTCCTGACTGTGGGCCAGGCAGGAAAACTCTAGCAACAAAGAACAACTATTTTTTGGTTCCCACCATTACTCATCCTCCTCTTCTTGCACCTAGTTAACTTGTGTTCAGCTGGGTTTCCACCTTCTCTGGGAAACCTGGCCTCCTGCGAGTGCACCCCCCCCATGTCTCCCCATTGCAGTGCTCAGCACACTGAACTACTATTGTGGACTACAGGAGCTACCTTCCTCCTGAGCACTAAGAGCCCAAGGTCACATCTTCTTAGCTGCGGCTGCTCCACCGTTGGCTTAGCACAACAAACATAGGAATGCCTAGATGTGCCTGTAACTCCAGCAACCCAGGAGGCTGAGGCAGGAGGATGGTGAAATTGGGACTAGCCTGAATTATACTATATAGTGAGACTCTGTCTTAAAGTGAACTAATGGCTATGGGTGCTCACTTCACGCCTGGACTGTACTGGGTGGTTCATGTAGACCAGCTACCTTCCTTTTCATATAAGCTGCTGAGTCAAACCCTTATTGTCTTGAATTCACAGAAGGGGCAATGGAGGAACAGAGAGCCCGAGGATCATCGTCAACTGTCTCTCTGGGCACAGAACAAGGGCCGAGCAGGGGCTGGGTGAGAGTGGGCTCGTGAGGTGCAGAGGCAGAAGTGGGCGGGGCCAGCACTTCTCTACTCCACTTGCTTGAAGCTAGCAGCCCCTGGGAGAGCAGGAGATGGGAACAAGATCCTCCCTGGGGCTGGCCAACAGGAGGGAGGGAGTCAGCACTGTTCAACCAGGACATGATTTTGGCAATGTTTGGAGATATCTGGGTTGTCGTAACTGGAGAGGGGGGACTGCTGTCTGCATATGGTGGGCAATGCTCAGGAAGTTATGAAACATCCCACAAAGCACAGGGAAGCAAAGAGCTAGACAACCAAAGCCTAATACAGTAGACTAATACCCCTGAGCCACAAGGGATCTGCTCCAAGACACCCTGTGCACACTGTCTACCTAGAACAACAGAGAGTACTGAGCCCAGTATACACTATGTTTGTTCCTGTACATACGGCTGTGACTTAAGAGATCAAGTGAGCCAGGCCTGGTGGCTCATGCTTGTAACCCCAGCACATGGGGGCAGGAGGATCACACGAGTTTGGGGTCTGCCTGTGCAACACAGTTTAGTAGCCTGGGCTAGAGTAAGAACTCGAGTGTTTCCGTTAACATCTCATTGCACGTTCAGCTTCCCTCTGAGAAGCAGCCTTGACAGCTCCTCTTTGGCACTCCTGTTGCCGCCCCTTCTTGGATATCTGTCAAACATTTAAAACCAGGCCCTAGACACCGAAATCCTGCAGGCCCCACCTCCTTCCCTAGAGGCCCTCTCCTCCCAGGCAGCAGCAACCACAGCCATTTCCACAAGGGGGCGCACTTTCTCCCCAGCCAGGACATCCACCCTGGTGTTTCTCAGCAGCACACAGGAAGGGCCCTCCCTCTGTTATTAACCCAGGCATGTCTGGCCTAAACAGAAGACAATTTCAGCCACATTCACATGGACCCTAGGAATCCCATATTCTTTCTTTCTGGATCGTCCGTCCCTCGAGTCAGGAAAAGCAAATGATTCTATATTCATCTTACAGATGAAAAAATGGAGGCATGACTCAAGGACAGGGGCTTATTCTTAGGGTGACAGAGGCCAGGCCTTGCACTCCGACTGTGGTAGACATCAGGTCACCACCTTGATGTCTCCTATGAGGACTGGGGTAAGAGCCATCTACTGGATAGACTCCTTCTCAATCCTGAGAGGTTGAATGCCTACCAGTGTCTCTGGAATGAGCTGGTCCCTCTAGCTATGGATCTTACGAGTTCTTGAGCCCGGCTGCAGGTAGTTACCACCATGACTCTGGGGGTAAGCTTGGGCAGCTGAGGTCTGAACTAGCTCTGACTCCAAGCCTGTCACCTCTGAGCTTGACATCCTCTCCAGGTGACCTCATCTACAACCTCCTAGAGATGACCCCAGTGTCCAGGCCCAGACCACACCTGGCTGTAGCTTGAGTCTCAATCAAGTACCATTTCCATGCAGAGGGGGACATTACCTGGACATCTGAAAAACTCATTAAATTCAGATCCTGACCTCAACTTGTGACACATTCCTTGTCTCTTTTTCTTGGCGACTGGTACTCTCCTAACATCCTGAAAGTCAGACCCATGGGAGTCTTCTGGTCCCCTCCTCGGCTGCTGCTGGGCTCTATCTGGGTCATGTTCCTCCCTGTCACCACCATGGACCACCTTTCCCCAGGTCTCCTGCAATGTGCCTTCCTCACAGGGCTTTGCATGGCCACACTGGCTTCCCTCCAGTCAACAGACTGCAGAACTGTGATCTTTTCCCCAAAGCGCACACTGGATCATGACAGCCCTTCATTGCACCTACCCCTCCCACTACTCTCAGGACAAGGCCACCTTCTTTCATATGTAGGGTCTGCAGGGTCCAGCCCTACTGAGCTCACAGTCTACCTCGGTCCCTTCAGGGCTCAGTGATTCAGCTAACCTGGGCAGAGGTTTTGGTAGCAGCTGTTTGGGGACAGCTAAGAAACAGTCATGTTCCTAAGATTTCCATTCAAGTGATTGACTTTCCTGAAAACCATGGTGCATAGGGAGTGTGGGGTGGGGGTGGGGGTGGGGGGACTTTCTCGGTGCTACACACACACACACACACACACACACACACACACACACACACACAGAGGGGTGCATCACTTGCAGCATATGCAAGGTGCCTTCTGGGAACAAAGTCCAGGGACCTCATACACCATGCAAGCCCACCCCAATCTTTATAGACAGGCAGGATGGTGCAGATGCCTGCCACACACAAAGCTCTTTATCCACATCCGGCTTAGGCAAGGCTTGGAAAAGAAGACTTACTTATGGCAGGCAGGATGCATTCATCCACTCAGGCACCATTTACATCTCCTGTGTA